ACTACTGCTACTACTACTACTGCTACTACTACTACTACTAATTCTCCTACTGCTACTACTACTACTACTATTACTATTACTACTACTACTACTACTGCTACTACTAATACTATTACTACTAATGCTGCTACTACTACTGCTACTACTACTGCTGCTACTACCACTACTACTACTAGTACTACTACTACTATTATTCTTACTACTACTACTATTACTATTACTATTACTACTACTACTACTATTACTACTAATGCTTCTACTACTACTACTGCTACTACTACTACTGCTACTACTACTACTAATTCTCCTACTGCTACTACTACTACTACTACTACTGCTACTACTACTACTACTGCTACTACTACCATCACTTCTGCTACTACTACTACTACTACTACTACTACTACTACTACTAGTACTACTACTGCCACTACTGCTACTGCTACTGCTACTACTGCTACTACTACTACTCCTACTGCTACTACTACTACTGCTTCTACTACTACTACTACTACTACTACTACTACTACTACTACTACAGATTTCTACTTGTTTCCACTGCAGTGGGCCATCGAGGTGGGAGGATTGTGCTGGATCGATCAGGTACCAGCTCAAGGTTCGACACACACTTTAGGAATGCTCTCCCATAACAGATATGTTACACGAGGGCGTGGTGACGCTCCTGGCTGTAGGCTGTCGTAGAGCCACACATAAATGCTCGATCCTGCCTTCGGTCCCTATTATTTTGTCTTAACGCAGGACCCAGGAATGCAAAGCCGGAGAATGTGATAGACGTATTGCAAGTCTGCAATCACTATGAGCTAACTTACGCCTAGGTAACTGTTCTTGATTCCATGATGCGATGGAGTACATGGCGAACATCGACGGTAACGACGGTTAGGCTGTCGGCTGTGAACACACCACATCATCATATTATCCGCAAGACCGTGTCGCAGCAGCAATTTGGATGAACTCCCATCGACAAATCAAATTGACTGATGGTGTCAAAACACCATCAAATTTCTCGGCAGTGGAGAGAGAACATGTGAATTCGCGGTCACTTAAATGACTGAATGTATAATTAAATGGTAAAACAGATTCATTCGTTGCGCAAAAGCCTCTATCTAATATTAGAAGTAGGCATTTGACGGCGTCTCTCGTTTCTGGCCTTCGCCCCGAGAGCCAAAGCCAAACAATCAATTCTGTATTATTCTCAAAGTTAGTAGGCTTTCGCTGGTGAACAAAGGCTGCATTAGCAAAAGCAATATCGGCCGGCGCGCGGAAATTCGAAGAGTCCAGGAAAAATACCATGGTAATTAATACTAACTCGCACCCTCAGGCCTTTTAAGGCCAGCCAGATAGTGACTAAAAACAGACGGGATGCCTGTTATCTCTCCCATCTAAATCGGAAGCGTCCTTCTGGGTTTCCAGATGGAAATAAGGTTATGATAGAGGACAGACAATAGGCGTAGTTTGTGTTTAGTTGTCCAGCGCAGAAACCATGCTCA